GAACAAGTTAAGTAAAAGGATATCCTTCCCCTCCGAGTGGCACGTACCGAGTGACGGCGACTGATGAAGCCCGTCCGTCATTTGCCGAGGGCGTTTTGTCTGAATATCGTGAAGATGAGCGGTATGAGTATTTAAAGGACGCGATGTCGGCCAGGCCTTTCCTGCGAGTATCCGCACTTCATGATGCATCTCGTAGTCCATCTGTCCTTGGTGAATTCGTACTTGGCACTCGTCGCATTGACTTTCGTCGCATGGATCTTGTATTTTATCTACAAACGCAACCTGTATAAGAACAACTCACACCGTCTGCCTTACCCACCCGGACCCAAGCGCCTCCCACTTATTGGCAATCTCCTCGACTTGCCTCAACGCGATGAAAGCCTCACATACAATCAGATGTACCAAAAATATGGCACGCTTCTAGGCTTTTGAATGTCCACTTGACGGTCCTGATGAACTGTGTCTAGGTGATTTGGTATACCTGCGCGTTTTGAACAAGCATATGTTGCTTGTCAACACGTTTGAAGCAGCGACGGAGCTCTTCGACAAACGATCAGCGAATTATTCTGATCGTGCGGACTTGACCATGATTAACGAGTTGTGAGTTTTCTAGAAGTTGGGGTTTTTTCATTTCACGGATGGCGCCAGGATGGGATGGGATTGCATGTTTGGCAATATGCGCTACGGTGTGTCCTTTGACGGTACTAAAAGTAAATTAGTGAGATTGACCTCGTATCAGGCGAAAAATACAAGAAGCATCGCCGCACATTCCATCGTCAATTTCAGGCTTCGGCTATACAGGTCTTTTCACAAACCCAGACTCGCGAAGCTCATAAGCTAATTCGCCTCATGCTACACTCACCTCATAATTTTGTCGAACACCTGCGCGAGTAAGCAACCGCTCTCGTCTGCACGTGCTTATCGGTCTTTTAATCTTTGTGCAGAAACGCTGCAAGTTTGATCATGAATGTGACGTACGGCATTGAAATTTGTGGCAAAGACGACGAATACGTTACAATCGCGGAGATGGCCTTGGACGGTCTTGCGAAAGCTGCAGCACCTGGTGCTTTCTGGGTGTGTAGTATCAACTGTTGTTGATCACGATATTATGACACGATTTAAATGCAGGTCGACATAATCTCCATACGTGCGTAGGCGGTTTTTGTAGGTTTTGATTCGGTGACGCTAATGTCCTGTCCAGTAAAATATATTCCGGAATGGATGTTGCCCGCAGGGGGATTTAAACGCAAAGCTCGAGAATGGAGGGCTGCTGTAGTGCAAATGAGAGATGCACCTTTCGCAGCTGTTCTTGAACATATCGTAGGGACCTTTTGAATGATCATGCCGCATAACGCAGACCATTTTCATTGCAGAACAGAGGAGTCGCGCGTCCCAGCTTTGTTACTTATCAAATGTCCGGGCTCGAGTCTCACTCAGACGTCGATGAGCAGATAGAACTGATCAAGGGATGTGCGGGGATGACATATGCCGGTTCGTCTCCACTTCGTGGCTCTGCTTTTGTATCTCAATACTAAAACTAATCAAGCTGGCGCCGAAAGTGTGAGTTTGAAACTCACATGCCTTGCACGTTGACTTCATAGCGCTTCAGACCGTATCGGCGTTGCATTCATTTATCCTCGCCATGATAGCTTATCCAGAAGTACAAAAGAAAGCACAGAAAGAAATAGACGAAGTCGTGGGGTGCGGGCGACTGCCAGACCTCGACGATCGAGATAGTCTCCCATACATTGATGCCATTGTAAAGGAGTTATTCCGGTTGGTCTTTTTTCCACATCGAGAGAACAGATGTTCTGACCGTTGAAATAAGATGGAATCCGGTAGCGCCTCTTGGTACGATCATTTTTTTATCTGGATATCCAACTCACCCTCCAGCGCAGCTCTTCCGCACACGTCTACTCACTCTGATGAATTTCGTGGATACCATATCCCAGCTGGTACGCTCGTCATAGGTAACTCGTGGACTATTTTGCATGATCCTGTCCGTTACCCCGAGCCTCACAAATTCGTCCCGGAGCGTTTCATCCCAAATACTCCCAACCAGGACATGTCACACGTTCTGGCGCCATTGTCCTGTAGTTTCGGCTATGGACGGCGTATGTGCCCAGGCCGTCCGCTCGCAGAAACTCAAATCTGGTTATCCGTCGTCTGCATCCTCAGCGTGTTTGATATACAGCGGGAGGACCTTCACCCTGTTGAACCCAAGTTTACGTCAGGCATGATATGGTCAGTGGGCGTGTCCTACAGTTTACAATATTTGTTCTCACGGCAAAACTGTCCAGCCATCCAGAGCCGTTCCGCTGCAACATTTTGCCTCGGGGAGAGTTCGCTGTTCGACTTATTCGACAAACAGAAGATCTTATATAGTTAAAAACATATTTATATATATATCTGTGGCATATTAATAAATGTCTGCTTCATGCAGAAACCTGAGTCTTGCGTCTACTTATTGATAGGAGAACGTGATGCGATGTGTTTTAAGTCACATGATCGCGTCCGGCCAGGCGACCAGCCTCAGCCTTGTGGCGGAACAAACTGTAATTCAGACTCTGTTCAGTGAGCCGCTCCTTGGGCTTGTACAACTTTATATCCTTCTCCGTCTTTCACATATACACGACCTCTCTATCGACATGCCAATTGGCCCGTCGCCGATGACGCTGAAGCGAATCCAGCGTGAGCTGGCTGACCTGCAGAAGCCCGACGCTGATTTGGGCTCCATCACGCTCGCACCTTCGGATGAGAGCTTGTTTATTTGGAAAGCAACTGTCCCAGGACCCGAAGGCAGTCTTTACGAAGGCGGTGTATTCGAGGCCGACGTAATCTTGCCCACCGATTATCCGTATGCCACTTTTCAAGTACACTTGTCAACACCTGACATCGCACCTCAGATTCTCTGCGCCGAAGGTAGTCTTTAAGACCAGGTGGGCCACAGATCTTCCAATTACAGATATTCGAAGCTCATTGCCCTTGTTTGCAGGATATACCATATGAATGTAAGTCACGTGGTTGTCTCGAGTTCTCATTCGCTGAAACTATAACATAGATATCGGAACAGGGAAATATCTGCATTGACATCCTGAAACACAACTGGTGTGTCTTCATTTAAATATCAGTTCGACAGCGTGTATACTCATCATGATGCAGGTCACCGGCACTGTCGCTTTTCAAGGTTATGTTGTCCCTGTCGTCACTCCTCACCGATCCCAATCCTAGTTGAGTAAACTGCTTACGTTTGCGAAGGCTACTTACTCACGTCTTATCCAGGGGATCCTCTTGGTACGGCTTCGCTATTGAAGTGCTTCTACTGTTAATATATTGTCCTATGCTGCAGTGCCTGGTATTGCTATGCAGTACACTCGAAATCGCAAGCTGCATGACGACACTGCGCGACGATGGACGGAGCTGTACGCTCGGCCCAAGCCGCCTGAGCCAGACGTTTGCGAGGCTGCAAATTCTAAGGGAAAGAGCAAGGCGGTCTCCCCTCGCCCTCGGCTGCCTCCCATACAACGTCGGATTGACAATACCCCAATCATCATTGACGACGTCGATGAGGATGGAAGTCGTGCCCACGCATCCCGGAAAAGGCAGAGAAATGCAAACGACGATGGAGACGAATTGGAAGTCTTGGACTTAACAGGCGGGCAGTTTTCCAACAAACGATCTCGACCTTCGGAGGGATCGATTAATGAGGGAGACTTAAACTCCCGAGGTAGCTCACAGGCACAATCCTCTTCATCTGACGACGTTATCATTGTGGATTGATGCATGATGCGCAGAGACGACGCTCTTTTACATAATCACCCACCATATGTATAATAACCTGCATAGTCTTTGAATCAATTTCTCATTTTTTTCTGGAGTTATGAAATTGTGCTACAACGGCCATGAATGGTTCATTTAAGCATGGTACCGATAATACTGCTTATGGATTCGGAAGTACGCGCACATGCACGTCGCGTGACCGCAAGACGCGCCCGATCTGACGAGTCGCGACTTCAGAATCGTTAGTTTGCACTCAATCTCATTCCTGCTTGTCTTCGATGCTGTGGGGTGTGTGTAAACACCAGCTCCTTAGCATTCGCTCACGCCCCCGAATATTGAACAATACCGCACGCGGTTCTTCTGTACGGTGGCGTTCAAAATCCACATCACCGGCACCAACGGGTGCTGGTGTACCACTTCCTCCAGCACTTCCCGTGCTTGAATCGCCTGGTGACATGCGACAAGCGCGAGAGTGGATATCCCGCTTCAAGGATTTCCCTGTCTCTCTAACGCGCGAGCTCGTCAAACTCTCCTTCTCGCGAAGCTCGGGACCCGGTGGCCAGGTCTGCGTCACTGTTTTATATGTTGCTGCTGGACGAAAACAATCTCAATGCTGTTGACGTGTTTTTCCTTAGCACAGAACGTCAACAAAGTGAATACCAAGGCCACAGCCCGGTGTGCTGTGAAGTCGTCGTGGATACCCCTATGGGCACATACCGCTCTCCGCGCATCAGTACGTCGTCGACTGTTTTTGTTTCCCGGTCCCTCGATCCTGATTGTTCGGAACGTAGCGCTACTATGTTAAATCTACAGATACGATAGTGATATCTTCCATGGAACACAGATCGCAAGCTGAGAACGTCGAGGAATGTCTTACCAAGGTAGTTTTTCGTCTTCTTCCCCATGTGTTGCGAACGCCGTTAACGAGCAGAAATATTTTCCAGTTGCGGGGCCTGATACAATCATGCGCGTCGGCTTCATTGAAAACCGAAACTTCACAGGCACAGAAGGAACGTGTGGAAATGCTGAAGCAGGCGGCTGGAGATCGGCGGCGTAAGGAGAAGAACTATCGCAGCGCAAGGAAGAGATCTCGTAAAGGTGACTGGGAATGAAAACTACATGCTACACACTCGGTTGGAAGAAGGCTGTACAAGCATTCAATTTCAGTGAAGCATGCATGGCAGGCAAAAACATTCATAGTTGGAATTAATGGAACCTACTGGACGCTGAGGGGTTTGAACCCTCGACCTTCCGCAATGGCCGTGCAAAGCGGGCGCGCTACCACTGCGCCAAGCGCCCGACAACCTCGAGGAGGGAGTATCTGGTTATATCGACAGGTTTTTGCATCATTGCCTTATCAGCAACCCGCGAGCACTTCCAACAGCAACGTCGGGAAAACGCGTGGATGTGACTGGCGACTGGCGCTCTATAGTACTGCATATGCAGGGCGACCACCATTGAGATGGAACAGAGGGGGCAGCAAAGTAAGAAACGCGGATGCGTGTAAAATGTTCGACACAGGCATGACGATGTTGTGCGCTATAAATTTCTTCCTTGCACTGTGCAGTACATAAGCTGCGTTCAAATTCAAAATCACCTGACCACCAAGGAACTGAGAGGAGGGGGAAAGAAGCACGGTGCTGTGCAGTGTGCCGACTTGAGGCGAAACCGAATACGGCACTGCGCAGTGAGGAAGGGCCGATATGCGGCCGAGAGAAACAACGTTATGGTACCTGGAAAGAAAAATATGATGAAATACAGAAAGGTACCAAGAAAGATGGGCGTAGTACGATTTCAAGTGAGACGGCGATAAGAGAACATCAGACGTGGAGGCGAAACAAGAATAGAGTGATGCGGCAGTTAGGAGATTGACGGTGGATAGATAAGGTGGATGCACGGCAACACGAAGACCTAATGAATGAGTAAAACATAGTAAAGAGATGATGAATGACGGATGGGCAACACGAGCAGACATACGGCGAACGGCGTGTGATGCAACACAATGGAGAGCGACACAAAATGGGAGTCAGCAAGCGTCTCAAAGGCGGGTGGAGTTGGGAGGCGCGGTTTCCGCCGTTACTGAGGTGATCTGCCTACGTCGAAATACCGACAAGAGGTGGTCTTCGCGTCGGTGGATACAATCGACAATACAGCTCAACTCAGAATTAAGCTGGATTAGAAAATATCCGGTTGTCGTCGCTTGTCGCCAATCGTGCATTTGGAAAGGCGGTACGAGGACAAGACATCGGGATCGGCCAGTGTCGTTAATTTAAGTAAATGATCGGGTCGGCGTAAATAGGCAATTGCGAAGCCTAACGGATGCATCTCAACGGCGTGGCGAGCAGAGTTTTGAATGACTCGGGGTATCAGCATACGTGGGCACGCGAACAGTGAAAATTAGACAGCTACCTACGATAATCACAGAGCGAGAAAGGGACCGGGACCTTTCCGTAGTCGCAAGTACGACGCAGATGAGATGGATAAGCCTCCAGTTGTTAGATGTGACCCTGTCTACTGAATGGACGGAAACGTGAGATCTGATCGAGCTTTCCGCCGTAGGAACGAGGGGAAATTAGTCGTGTGAGATTAATCTTCAGTCGAAAGGACATAGTTGGTTGCGTGCAAGGCGGGGTCGCGTGCTCAAAGACGAGCACAACCCTACACCCCTAAGATGAGCACTGAAACATAGATTGTGCCGTCAGACCTGGCATACATTACATGAGAAGATGCAAGTCCCAAGGAGCTCCTCACAGACCCGTGGCATCGCAAGAATACCGCACTAACATTGATGAAGCTTGTTGCTAATGCGCAATGGTTTGGCGCTTAACATTTCAAGCGGTGGGCTCCACTCTGGCACGCACGTCGCCGGTGGCAAATGCATCCACGCTACGCACTGGAAAAGGCATGGAAAAGCTTGTTTCGTAGTATCTACACGCGAGTATATAGCTGAACGGTGGAAAGACCCGAGAGGACCTAATCAGAGTCACGGCAATCAGCGTTAGAGCCAGGAGCTCACATCACCGATCAGCAATCGACGGGCAAGTGTGGGGTGCAACCGAAGTCCGGCCACGACAGGGCGGAGATGCAGATTTCATCCATTGATGCTTTCAGCCTCTAAGTGATACATTAGAGGTCGTAAGAGCACAGGAGAGCACTCACCTCCAATTTGCGCGTCGCACTAGCTTGAACGATAGTCTCGGGTCACTGATCGAGCGCATGATCAATGGCCCGCTGCGTCATTAATAAAATGGTGGTCTATGTTGGGCCATGGGCGCCTAAACGCAAAAGAGCGCGGCCGAAGACTGCAAACCGCCGGGCCCTTGTCCTTATCGTTATCTCTTAGAAACCATGTGGTTCACAGGTGCGGACACAACTTGAACAGACGTTCTTTGGCGATCCGAGGCCCACAGGCGTCAAGCTTAGACGGAGAGAGGCAGAGAGCGGTCGAGATCTTTGCGGCGCAGCGACGCGTAATTTGAATGGAAATGCTAAGAGTTTCATACCTATGAAGGTGGTGTAGAATGAACGACATGGTATAGCCTCCCAGTGAGGCTGTCAATTGGTGGAGACGACAGTGACATTAACGCATGCAGTTCAAGCTGGTATGGGACTGCTGAGACGCAACAGCATCTCGGACTAATTACAGAAGGCGATACAGGATGCGATGAGACATCAAGTAGTTTATCCGAAGTCATGATCATAGGGAGACACCGAGCAAGGCAAGGATGTATGAACTTTACAAAAAAGCATTAAATTGCGTGCATTACAGGATGCGCCGCGATAACATCATCGATCGGGCAACTGTGATGGTTAGCGAGCAGTTCATATCCCTTACATTGATGAACACACCAACCAGTAAAAGATAAGTCAAAGAGAGATGAATGTGGGGACCGAGGTGAGGAGCTGTGAGGAGGCAGTGAACTGAGAGATGAGCCGCTAGCGTTGTGAGGCGTTGTGGCGCAGACTAAAAGAGGGAAGGGAGAACCAGGGAGACGGCGGCGAGATCTCAACACGGCACCGATGGAACATGTGGGCCCGATCATATGGGCACCTCGAGCACCTCGCCACCATCTAATCTATCTTAGTGGCTCTTATCATCGCGTCCTTCCAAATAAAAGCCACTCCACATGAGTTCTCCACCCATCGGGCGTTCTTCCTTTTCGCCGTCATCCCGGCCTTTCCTCCTGCACCGCGCTTCCCAGCCAGTGCCTGACGCCGCCCACATCCTTTGTTTCTCTCCCACGATACCATCGACAGAGAGTCCTTCTTCACAGTCGTCATGGCTGATATATCGTCTTACAGTCCAGAGAAAACGTCCGAGAAGGATGTTGAGGTCGCCATCGCTGGCCCGGAGCACGCTGACGACCGTGTCGTCGATGGCACCACCACCGACCCGCACATGCACCGTGCCCTCAAGGGTCGTCAGGTGTCCATGATTGCCATCGCAGGTACCATTGGCACAGGTCTCTTCCTTGGTAGTGGTAAAGCCCTTGCCGATGGCGGCCCCGTTGGCGCTGTCCTTGGTTATCTAATCGTCGGTATGCTCGTCGGTTGCATGATGTACTCCCTTGGTGAGGTCAGTCAGGTTTTCTCCATGAAAAAATTTTTGTTCTTCGTTCTTACTGATCTATCCTCTTAGATGATGGTTTACGATCCTTCTGCGGGCGGTTTCATCGAGTTTTCCAAGCGTTATGTCGACGGCGCTCTTGGTTTTGCTATGGGTTGGCAATTCTGGTTCCAAACGGCCATGACTGCGCCTACAGAAATCGTTGCCGCCTCTATCGTCATTCAGTATTGGGACTCCAATGACAAGCACCTTGCCATCTACGTTTCCGTCATGCTTGTCGGTATTATCCTCATCAACTTGGCGGGCGTCAAGTACTTCGGTGAATTCGAGTTCTGGTTCGCAGCTATCAAGATCATCACCGTCGTCGGACTGGTCATCACCTGTCTCGTCATCGACCTTGGTGGTGCTCCCGATCACGACCGCCGTGGCTTTCGCTACTGGCGCGAGGAACCTTTCAACAACACTTACCTTAACATCGTCCCCGCTAGCAAAGCTCGTTTCCTCGGCTGTACGTTTTCTGTCTACAAGAGTTCTGAACGTCCGTGCTGACCTGAGTACCTAGTTTGGGCCGTGCTGACGCAGGCCGCTTTCTCATATGGCGGTATGGAGGGTCTGGCTAGTATCTGTCTGGAGGCGGAGAATCCCCGTCGCACCATGCGCACTGCCGTCCGTGCCATTTTCTACCGTATTGTGCTCCTCTGTATGTTTTCTGTATTCCATGTTTCCGCGGTTCCATCGCTAAGCGAGGTGTTTCAGACATCATTTCCCTTTGGCTGGTGGGCATGTGCATCTCGTGCAAGGACCCAAACCTTTTGCAGGCGAACACCTCGCAAACGGGCACGGCCGCGGAATCGCCCTTCGTCATCGTCATTACCACCTCGGGTATCAAGGTCCTCAATCAGATTGTGAACGCCGTCGTGCTCACTTCCGCGTTCTCGTCGGGCAACGAGTTTCTGTACTCGTCGTCGCGTGCACTCTTCATGCTTGCGCAGGAGGGTCAGGCGCCACGCATCTTCGCGAAGATCTTGCCCAACGGTGTTCCGATCTACTCCCTCGCGTTCACGTCGCTTTTTGCGCTCCTCGCGTACCTTAACTGCGGCTCTGGTGGCGCGTCGACGGCATTCAACTGGCTTTCGAATATCACGACGCTCGGTAGTATGATCACCTGGCTCGGCGTCGCGATTACTCATATCCGCTTCTATCGTGGCATGAAGAAGCAGGGCGTCCCTCGTAGTGTGCTTCCCTTCCGGTCATGGATCCAGCCATATGGTGCGTGGGCCGTGCTCATCAGCTTCAGTATCATCATTTTGTGAGTCTTTCGACTTTTTCCGGGTTGTCGGATGGTGCTGACCCTTCGACCCTTCATGGGTTTTCAGCTTCAACGGTTGGTCGTATCTCAAGCCGTGGGACGCTAGCGACTTCTTCTCGTCGTACATCAACATTCCCTTTGTTATTATCCTGTACTTTGGCTGGAAGGTCGCGAAGAAGACGCGCATCGTTCCCCTGGAGGAGATGGACCTGACGTCGCATTATGTTGAGGGTTCCGTCGTTCGCAGCAAGATGCACTAAGCTGTGTTACCTGCACTCGACTCCTTGCATATTTCTTTCTTTGTTGCTGGCACCACCTCTTGCCTCTGTCATGTTGTCAATACTTATTCAAGCACAAAATATCTCCCACGATCGGCAATGTTTCAAGTACTATATACGGGGTATGCATCTTAATAACGCGCCT